CATAGATAGACAGATATATTGGTTTGACGATCCTATTCAAAATTGCCAAAAGGTGGCCATTTTTGTGCTAAAAAATCATCAAATATAATGCATTTATTGATTGATTTTGTTCAAACTTAGTACATATATTAGACATTACAGGTTCCTGATGCACATCATTTATTTTTGAGATCGGATACAAAATGGTTGACTGGCGGCCATTTTGTTTTAATGATTGGGCTTCTAGAGCCATATCTCTTAAATGCTTTGAGTGATTATATTCAAATTTTATATATTAGTTGTACATCATGTCATATATATACATGTATTCAAAATGGCTGATTTTGAATTCTGTTCCGCAGCAATATCTCTCAATATGGACAAGTACTTTTTTGACGATCAGATACAAATGTCAATCATTTAAATGTTAAAAAATCATATTCCTGACATGGTTATATTCCAGCTATATTACTATAAACAAAACTATATCTCTTAAATTTGATAACTAACAGGGACTGTGCCATGCATAGCTTGTTTATTATGTACGATATTTGTAGAGTCTGCCAAGATGAATGGTCCGTCATCTGCAGTGAACGCCAATGGCCCATCGGATGGTGAGGTGACCGCCGTTAATAATGACGACGATGACGAAGAGGAGTGGGAACAAGTTGGTCCTAAGAACAAAAGTAGTATCACCAGAGCTGTAAGTTAGAAACTTTCTCTCAAATTGCTCTGTTGATAACTATTAAGATGGTCATTTTTGTTTTCCTTGCTTGTATCATGTGTCATCATTGTTATGAAATTGTCTTGCCTTTTTGCTCCAGGCTAATTTCTCAAAATCTCCAATATCTGAAATATTTGGTGGCCAGATGAGATCAGCAGTACATCAGCATGGTTCCAAGGAGTCTGCAACATTACAGCCATTCTTTACATTACAATTAGATATACAGGTGATTATTTTATGTTATTAGATTTCAGTGGATTGACAAATTTTCTGTTTTTTCTCTATTAAGAGATTTTACAATAGGAAGAGCCCATAAATAGAAAAGTACATATTATTGCATGCTAGATCTTGCCTTCTTACTTAACAAGATTATGCCCGATTGGCTACCCAACCCTAATACCTTACAGTCAGACCAATCAGAGAGCATGTATTGAATTCAGTTTTATAAATATGCCTTGACTCAACTGTACTGCTATTTTCATTCACAGTCTGACAAGATTTGGTCTGTGAAAGATGCACTTCAGTCCTTAGTGAGCCGTGAAACTTTACATGATTACACAAGCTCTAAACCTAATAAACTTGAGGTGAGTTCCATAGTTGCACATCTGTCTTGCACACAAAGCACACTGTATGTGAAATGTTACAGTGGTGAAAACCTTTGGCCAGTACTGGTGCATGTGGTGTAAGGCAAGTAAATAATATGCACAAAATAATAAACACAACAGTTACCTAATTTATAAGATATCGGCGTCAGGAGTTTGTTGCCATTAGTCAAACAGTTCTGTGAATTTAGATTTTGTGTATAGGTCCCTCACTTTTGAATTCATATGATAAATATTTTACTTGCATCCGAATTAAATGTCCAACATAAATACTTTGTAAGTAAGTTTAGCGTGCTCTTAAAGCAGAATTCTAACAGAAATCATGAAGGGATTATTGTAGTGGAGACAAATAATAACTTAGTCTATAAATGGTGTAATACATTAGATTTCCATCAGAATAAATCTTCTAACCTTTTGAGATGTGATTTTTTGCCAAGCTGCTTGAAATTAAAAGGACTTTCAATTACGTTTTCCTCACAATAAAACTATAAGTGTATGTCTTGGCATACAGCCTTACATGTGTATGTATTCCAGGGCACCTAGGTGTTTACTTTACACACCATGTGTTTGGGGTGAAACACTTTAAATTCATATATCACGCATATAAATGATATACCATGATAATTAATGTCCACAGTTGGATTTGGGAATATAACAGTGGATATCCCTTTACCATTAACTCTGCCAATTATGTGTTTCTGCTTATGCAGGTTGAAACCATTCGTAAAATTAGTCTTGAAGAGCTCCCTCCAGTCTTGGTGCTGCACTTAAAGAGATTTGTCTACGATAAATCAGGAGGTTGCCAAAAAATGACCAAGAAGATAGATTATTCTGTGGATTTAGAAATAAACAAAGGTATGTTGTAATTTTCCCAGTGCATCAATCCACATTATGTTTTGACCTCCATGTGTGTGTGTGTGTGTGTGTGTGTGCGTGCGTCCGTCCGGACCTGTATCTTAGAAATGCCTGGACCAATCACAATCAAACTTCACACATACATCATACATGATATTATACATATGCACGTCAATTTGTTTCACGATCTGATTCAAGATGGCCAAATGGCGGCCATTTTTGTGCCAAAAATCATCAAAATCAAAAATTTTTCAGCTGTTTACAGATGGATTTTGTTCAAACCTTGTATATATGTTGGACATTATAGGACCTTGATGCACATCATTTTGTTTTACGATCTGATTCAAGATGGCCGAATGGCGGCCATTTTTGTGCTAAAAAATTCTAAAAATCAAGCATTTCTCGGCTGTTTACAGATGGATTTTGTTCAAACTTGGTATATACATTAGACATTCTGGGACCTTGATGCAAATAATTTTGTTTTTTAGATAGGATTCAAAATGGCGTCCATTTTGTTTTAATGAATGTGGTTCTCGTGCCATATCTCTGACTTGCTTTCACTGATTATGTTCAAATTTTAAATATTCATTATACATCATGTCATAGATAGGCAGATATATTGGTTTAACGTTCCTATTCAAAATGGCCAAATGGTGGTCATTTTTGTGCTAAAAATCATCAAATATCAAGCTTTTCTGACATTTATGGATGGATTTCGTTCAAACTTGGTACATATTAGACATTACAGGTTCCTGATGCACATCATTTATTTTTCAGATTGGATTCAAAATGGATGACTGGCGGCCATTTTGTTTTAATGAATGCTTTGACTGATTATATATTCAAATTTTATATATTCGTTATACATCATGTTATATATATACATGTATTCAAAATGACTGATTTTGAATGCTGTTCCAGAGCAATATCTCTCAATATGGACAAGTACTTGTTTGACGATCAGATACAAATGTCAATCATTTTAATGTTAAAAATCATATTCCTGACATGGTTATATTCCAGCTATATTACTATAAATAAAACTATATATCTTAAATTTGATAACTAACGGGGACTGTGCCATGCATGGCTTGTTTTCAATAAATATATGACAAAATCTGAAGAAGTTGATGGTCTTACTTTCATAGATTGAGTAGTAATTACATATAATTTTCACATTTCTCACCAAAAGCTCAGAACATATGGAAATTACTATACTCATTTAATGAATATGATCTTTTCACCATGAATTTTGATCTCCTATCTTCCATTTTTTTACAGAATTGCTGTCTTCTAACGTCAGATCTAAACTAGCTCAAACTCAGAGATCGTATAAACTGTTCGCAGGTGAGTATGTATATACATATAAGTGCTGTAGATCATGTGAATAACATGGCAGTTCAATGTACCGTATTTGTCTTCAGTTAAGGGCCACCTTCAATTAGGCCCCAGTGCCATGAAAATATCGTATTTTACACCCCAATTAAGCACCAGACAGAGTTGAAATTTTGCCACGTTAATGATTGTGAATTACGGCTAGCAAATCGATTACCGGTTAGTAGCGATCACGGAAGTCCCTCACTGTTACTGTACGATGGGCTTTTATGCATAAAAATTTGTTTATTTTTTAGAAATTTTTAAGAAATCGGTCTATAATCTGTCTCTTTGGTTTACTGTAGAAGTAGAAAATTTCCGCATGGTTTTTAATTTAGTGAATTTAGCGAATAAACAGGAAATTAAAACTATACGAAAATGTTCCGTTTCAAATGAGCTGTTATCACAGTAAAGTTTTAAATTATTCTTTAAATGCTCAGTTCACTTTCCAAAAATAACTAATTTCTTGATTGAAAAAAAAAATCATGCCGTTTGCCACTAAAATCAAAGTCAAAAGATCGCAAACATCGGCAAATCTGTCGTATGGCGTTCATACATTATTTAAATAAGCTATGGTAATTTGATCACGTTGGCCATCATTCAGCATTTTGATTGGATGATTAACGACTTGACCTATCAGGTCAATGAACACGTTTCATGTCAACTCCGACACAGGAAGCATGGCGGATATCGTATCGCATCAAACGTTTACATGCGACCGGAATCATTTGCTTACGATGAAATTAAGTTGAATTTTACTTGCATTTTATTTTTTGTACGTTATTATAATTACTACTGAGTAATAATCGTAACTGTGGAATGCAGCATGACCGGATTTTGCTATCATGATCGGTGTTTGTTTTATTTTTCTCTTGATTGTACGGCAAAATGTGAATGTTTTCTAAAAGATGATAATTTTTGTATAACTTTCTAAACTGTCTGAAAACAGGTCATTTACTTAGTATTTAAAATAAAGGCTACAGTGACTAAGCGTCAGACTGTAATGTAAAATATTGTCAAGACAGGAGCCAGAACAATGGCCTTATGAAACACAGTTACCGGTACTAGAACTTGAAGTGCTTGAAATAAGTGCCATTTGAAACAAAGTTGCCCAAATTTAACCACAAATAAGCGCCACCACGAAATGAAAGTTTAACAAAGTGGCGCCTAATTGAAGACAAATACGGATGTCATATACTTTGAGTGATTAATAGTCATGAACTTGTTTGTACTAAATGCACATGTGTAAAAAGAATGATTTCGTTTCAGTTGTCTATCATCATGGTGTCAAAGCTAGCGGAGGACACTATACTTGTGATTTTTATCATCCTGGAATTAATGGATGGGTTCGGACAGATGATAGCAATGTCCATGCTGTGCCCATACCGAGTATTCTGAGACCAATGCCACCCAAGTTTGCATATCTTCTCTACTACAGACGATGCGATCTCATCTGAATTCTGGACATCTCCGTATAGCAGTTGATTGTGTACTAGAGCGGTTCAGTTACACAGGGAGGTACACAGTGTACGAACGATATGTACCAAACCTCCCGTGTAACATGAATTAAATAGAATTTGTAATAATGTTGAAATTATGAAAGTCTTTTGAGTTTTTTCAAATTAAATGACTGACATGACCTCTATTTTCAAGTATGGTGTAACATTTTTACTCTAACAAAAATTGTAAAAGCATTAATTGAATCAAGCTTTTACTTTTATCTCGCAGCCATTTATGTGATACCTCCGTATCTGGGCAGGGCATTAATTTCGGGCAGCAATGCTGTTTTTGTATAATGCATTCTATGATTAAACAAAACAAACCACTTTCGTTTTTGCTGGCACAGTGAAAACTTGTATTTTTGACAGATAGTTTTTAGCATTTAGGAAGATTTTGGTAGTAACAGGAATTCATTTGCATATTAAAGCTTATTTACAAGCATATGCATATTGCTTCATTACAGGGTTTCATCCTAAAATTGAAAACTATATCATAATAGGTTATTGGTAGAATCCATGCTCTCTAGATCTCGCCGTTGCCACCTGTACATGTCAACTCGCAAATTTTTTTGTATAAAAAAAAAGTTGAAACTTAAAAAAAAAAAAGGTTAAAATTGGTAAAAAAAGATAGAATCATGTTGGTGTTTTCCATAAAAACTACAGGTGATTAACAAAACATTACCCCAAATAAAAGCAAATCCTTATGTTCGTTTTGTGCAATATTGTTTATTAATTAAATCTGTTAACAAGCAATCTAGTTTTAAGCCGTTTGGCAAATGCTGTCTCTAAGCAATTGTGCTTAACTACATTTTGTGAAGGGAGGTGGGGGCATGAGGAAGATCAGGGACAATATGAGATACATATACATTAATATAGAAATTAAGAAAAGTTATGGCAATTGATATTATAAAGGTGGTTGCCATTTAATTGAGTAGAATGCATAACATTATATGCAAACAGTATGATGCTTAGAAAATGGTTCTTAATTGCATGTGAACTTATTTAGCATCAGTTCCATGGTGTGATCTCTGCATTTTCTAACCAACACAATCTCAGTGTGACAGTATCGAATGTATTTTTTTAACAATTAACAATGATATGGTGAATTTTGATATTGTGCAAATTATATATGCATATTTCGTTACTACAGTACAGCGAAACAGTTTATCGTTTTCCAATTTTTTTTTTGTGTGCTGCAAATGGTTACAAGAATTGTTATCGCAAATTGAGTTTCAGAATATGTTTGCTCTGTTGAAGTTTACTTTTATATCGTTAAAGCGATTAATAATTTGCTTTTGTTAACTGTTACTTAGTTTTGTGAACTTGTCTTAGGATCGAGTGTGATACACTGCCATTTTGTGGTAAGGGTGACACTTTGAGACAAATCTGTTTTTCAAAACTTTTGACAAAACTCTTGAATGTAAGCAAAAGCTTTATAAATACTACCCTACCGCACTGTCTCTGATCATAAGCTCAGAAATGTGCTGGGGTGGGTGCTGTTATGTGTGTGTAGTTGCATTTTGGATCCTGCAAATTTTGAAAGAGTTCTGTAAATCTCAAAATAATTGTAAGAGGCAATTTTAATGTACAGAAAATTGTCTCCCTGCATTTTTTTGTCTTTTCTACTTTGTGTTGAGTGTTTCAAGTAATTCTTGTCCATTTCATGTGCAAGAACAGGCAGCCTATCACTGTTTAATGACTGTTAATTCAATGTTATTCTTTAGACCAGATTAGTGTAGACTTCATATATCATGATATAATTATACATAGACAACTCTACAACTAATAATATCAATTGCAGTGGTGGGGTGGGTGATGGGAATAGTTTCATTTTGGATCCTACCACTTTCTGGATAGTGCTGTATATCTGGAAATAGAAAATATGACATGGGTATAATGTAGAATATTGTGAGAAAGTATGACTTGAGAGTATTGAATGATTTGGATTACATAGTCCATCCACCTTGGTGTAGTGCTTAGTTTATTGTAATTTGCAATGTTATATAGGGCAGTCTATACTGCTTGCAATTATGTACCTCGTTACGCCTCTGCATTAAATATTAAACTAATGGTTGGTGAAGATCACTTCTCAGGGTCAACCTGATTTAATATTCATCAGCGTAGAACTATTTGTTTTATTATATCAAACAAACAAGGGTATTACTTTACCAACTGTACATCTACCAGTGAATTTCAAAATTTGTTTGACGGTCTTTTTTTTTTATGAATATAACATGACCGTATTCTCACAAATCATGTGTTAAGCTTGCCACAATATTCTTGTATTGCGCAGGTTATCTGCATACTACTTTATTAGGAAATGAAAATTCCAAATATAGAATGACTACGCAATATTTCCAAGATGACAGGCATTTCAAAGCTACATTTAACACTAGCAATTTTCACCATCTGGTAAAGTACTTGGCTTCACCAAACAGTTGAATTCAGAACATCATGTATAGTAATAATTACTACTACAAGTATGCATTCGAACAGTAATGTGGTCTCTGTGACGCATGGGTTGATGCTGTCGCTGATGCATACTTAATGGTATTTTAGTAATGATCTTTTAATGAAAAAAGTTGGTACAATCATGTAGCTTTAATTGCATGGTGTGGTGAAGTAGACTTTTGTGTGATGCTGTGCTGCATTGTGTAAAAATTGGCCAAATGATGTATTCAAAAATTTTATAGAAAAAAAAAGAAAATATATCACTTGTTTTTAATACCTGATTTCTTAAAAAAAAATCTTGATAAAAAAAAGAACCCCATCAGTCACAATGTATACTTTTTTCATCCTTTGTTAGCACACTACAATTATCACGAGGCATATATTTACCCTAGAAACCTATGCTGGAAGTGTTTTTGATAGCATTCATTATGAAGAGTGCCATTCACTAAAAACAACTATTTCGTAAAAAAACCAAAAACTGGCTTTTCAAGTAGGCATCTTTTTATTGGTCAAAAGTACAGTTTATTGCAAAATGGAAACAGTTTTGGTGCATTAAATGAGTATGATTCCACCATAAGACAGCAGCCCATATTACTTGTTTCGCTGTATTCACATCAACACATGTATATTCAATGCAGAGGTGACACTTTTAGTATGTGATTTGTTAGTTTGTCTTGCTGCGCATAGTAGGCCCTTTGGAAGGACTGTTGAGTTCCAGTAGTAGACATGGACTTTTTCAGTCACTTGTGGCATTTAAATACAATTTGAAAGCATTTTATTTCATCTATCACATGGTGTAGGTGATTTTCATTTGTTTTCTGAAAACCAAATTTTGAATAAAGAAACGGAAAATAAAATTGTGTAATTTTTAGTACTATCTATGACAATACCCGTGTGCACACAGGCTGAGAGCTGAGATCACTCGCTAAACATTTGTTAGTGTGGTAAACTTTGGTCCTATTCGTATTCTATTCTCATATAAGTGGGTTGAACCCTGTGATTTGCTACATGTGTGAACACTCAATGTTGTGTGGTCCACCTGCTGTGATGTGTACCAAGTATAGCCCACCAAAATCAAGCCCAAATGAGATTCACCCATATCCTCAACAGATATAAAGAATACTTCTGAACATGGTACTAGTTGATGCGAGCACATTAATGTTCTACATTTTAAACTGGTGCAAATCACTCCAGGAGATCATGTCATGAAACATGTGAATGATGCAATTTCAGATAAAAGTAGGTGTCCTGGCCACACTTTGTCGCTTGTTTCATTTTAAGAGTACTGGAGTGTTTTGTCCTTCATACTTATATGCCTACAATGTAACTGACCTTCAAGGACACTGCCTCCTAACTGTGTACATGATTACCCATCCATAATATTTGGTGTATGTGTTAGTACTGAAGGCACATCACATATTTGCTAAGTGGAACTGCAACTTTAAGTCATAAGCTAGCATGCTACCGAAGTTGAGCAGTTTCATGAAACTGACACATTGGGTTATTTTTTCAGCTTGGTCATTTCAAATTATTTTTGCGCATCTCTCAAACAACCGGGTGTTAGATACTATTGATAATTCCCTTTTTACCATTTTTGACTCCCATGTGCGAAGCACATAATGGGAGTCTTTGCAGTTAGTGTGTGTGTGTGTGTGTGTGTGTGTGTGTGTGTGTGTGTGTGTGTGTGTGTGTATGTGTATGCGTGTTCCACTGCTCCACTGCTATCTCAAGAACCATACATCGGTTATTGATGAAACTTGGTGCATAGATGCTCTGGGCCAATGCGCAGATTTGATCAGTTTTTGGTAAAAATCCGTGCATATTAATTACCTAATTTGCATGATAATTAGCTAATTTTTAGTGGTTCCATGATTGTTCCACTGATATCTAAACATCCACTCATTGGATTTTGATGAAACTTTGTACATGCATGCTCTGAACTAATGCTAGGTTTTGATTAGTTTTTTTTTAATAATCCGTGGATACTAATTACCTAATTTGCATAATGATTAGTCAATTTTCGGTTT